CCTTGGAAGGAAGATGGGGCAATCTACTTCCGTAGTGATACTGCCTCGGAAACCCAAGGAGGGGTTGCTATGAGTCGGGTCCAACTCGACGGCACATAACAACAACAACATGGTGTGAGGTAGTGTTCCAACTCTGTTTGTATGTGGACAGTCACTTGTTCTGCCACCATTTGTTGGATCCTATGACTTATTACCATTCTTCCATTATTCCTACTTACTACCACTTATTCCTTCCCTCATTTTCCTTCTTACCTAGTTAGACTTGTGGCTGACCATTATCATTGGTCTCCCCTGCTTACAACTCCAACCTTGGCACCTCTCTCCCTCCCTCATACTTTGTCTGGAAAAACTCAATCAGGAGATAGACAGAACTCAATGAGTTCCACACTGTATTGATGAGACAAAACATATAGTAAGACCTATTATAGTAAAATTCCTAAACTCAGAGATAAACAATAGTTTTTTGTTTTGTTTTTGCGAGGGGGACAGAAAGTTCTAGTTAGCTATAATAGGAAAAGAGTAAGACTATCATCAGATTTCTCATCTTCAACATTGAAAGCTAGAAGAGAATAAAATAGCTTCCATAAACCACTGAGGAAAAGGTACTGCAACACAAGAATCTCGTACACATTATGACAGCATTCACCTGTCAAGGCAAATGGATCCAACACACACAAAAGGGTCTCTCAAGTTTTACTACTTACATAATTGGAGCTAGGGCCTTCTCACTAGAAGAGCTGGATTCTAAATCCCTCCCCTGGCTGTACTCTGGAGGTTGGATCATATCTCCCCACTTTAGATAACAGTGCAGTGATAGCAGAGTGCCAGAGAGCCTGTACATTTGACCGGCCATCTACAACTGTCTTGCCTACAAGTATCTATTTATTGCTTTGTTGTACTTTCTATAATGATAATTATACTGGATTAAAATACTAGAGAGGATTCAGAGAAACTGGATCTCTCATACATTGTTGCTGTTGTTAGGTATTGACAGGTCACTTCTGGCTCACAGTAACCCCATGTACAACAGAACAAAACACTGCCTGGTCCTGTGCCATCCTCAATCATCGCCATGCTTGAGCCCATCATTGCAGCCACTGTAGCAATCCATCATGTTGAGGATCATTCCCTTTCTCGCTGACCCTCTACTTTACCAAGCGTGACATCCTTCTCCAGGGCCTGGTCCCTCCTGACAACATGACAAAATACATGAGATGACATCCAGCCATTCTCGCTTCTAGGGAGCATTCCAGCTGCACTTCTTCCAAAACAGGTTTGTTCATTCTTCTGGCAGCCCATGGTATTTTCAATATTCTTCGTCACCACCACAATTCAAATGCATCAATTCTTCTTTGGTCTCCCTTATTCATTATCCACTTTCATAAGCAAATGAGGTGACTGAAAATACCATAGCATGAGACAGGCACACCTTAGCCTTCAAAGTGACATCTTTGCTCTTTAACACTTTACACAGTTCTTTTGCAACAAATTTGCCCAGTGCAATACATCATCTGATTTCCTGACTGCTGCTTCTATGGGCATTAATTGTGGATCCAAGTAAAATGAAATCTCTCACAACTTCAGTCTCTTCTCCATTTACCATGATGTCACTTATTTGTCCAGTTGTGAGGATTTTCATTTTATGTTGAGGTGTAATCCATTTGGAGGCTGTAGTCTTTAACCTTCATCAGTGTTTCAAGTCTTCTTCACTTTCAGCAAGCAAGATTGTGTCATCTGCATATCACAGGCTATTAATGAGTCTACCTCTAAACTTGATCCACATTCTTCTTCATATATCCAGCTTCTCAGATTATTTACTCAGCATACAGATTGAATAAGTATGGTGAAAGGATACAACCCTGATGCACATCTTTCCTGATTCTCATACATTACTGATGGGAATGCAAAATGGTGCAACCACTCTGGAAACTTTGGCAGTTTCTTCTTTTTTTAAAAAAATATAACTGAACATACACTTACGTTCACATAATGTTAAACATAATATATTTCCCTCTGCTTGGTAATTTGGATTGCTATTTCTACTCTCAGCAGGTCACAAAGGGAGAGAATCAAATCCACACTGTCCAAGAGAGAGGATTTTTTTGAATAGAGATTTTTCAAGAGATCACTGACCAGGGCAAGTGCTTCATATGATAATTAGCACAGGGAATATAAAGTGCAACACAAAATCCTTATAGTAGGCAGAGAAATGCCCTTCCCCAGGGAAAATTTCTAGATAGGTGGTGGTGGTGGTGAATAGAGATATAGATATACCAAAAATTATTAGTGGTTACAAGGGGTAGGAGGGAGGGGGAAAGGGAAAGCTTTTGTTTAGGGGGCACTGAGTTTATGCTAACAGGTAGGTGGTGCAATATTTTGGAAAAGGATAGCAATAATGGTAGCACAACATGAAAAATGTAATCAATGTCCCTGAGCTGTAAATGTGGAAATTGTTATGTTGGCAAATGTCTTGTATATTTTCACAATAAAAGGGGGGAAAAAAAGCCCTCCCCCAAAAATGCCCACATCCTAATCTCTGAAAACAGAGTATGTGCTCTTACATGGCAAAAGGGTTTACAGATGTGATTAAGTTAAGTGACTTGATATGCTTGTGGAATAATTGAAATTGAGATGGGGGAAATTTATGAGGAAGAGTAGAGGCATTGATATCCTCATCTTATTTAGAGATATTTTGAGATAGTGTCTACATTTAATGGAATAAGAAATCACATTTCAAAGATAACCAAGATGGTTTGGTGGTTCCTCAAACAGTTAAACAATTATCATATGCCCCAAAGAATTGAAAGCAGGGACTCAAAGTGATACTTGTATAGCAATGTTGAATGCAGCATTATTCATAACAGCCAAAAGGCAGAAACAACCCAAATGTCCATCAACTGCTTAATGGATAGATGTGGTATATACACAAACTGGAAAATTACTCAGGCATAAAAACACACGTTCTGATATATGTGGTGAAACTTGAAAACATTATAGTGAGTGAAATAAGTGAGATACAAAAGGACAAATACCACATGATACAACTTATATAAAATATCCAGAACAGGCAAATGCAGAGACAGAAGTTCAATAACCAGTTACAAGGGACTGGGGTGCCAGGGGAGTGGAGAGTTATTGCTTAAATAACTTTAATAATGTATTGAATCCTATTTGGGATGATAAAAACTTTCGGAAATAGTAGTGATCGTTGCACATGGTTAATGTAATTAGTGTCAACTGTGAACTTAAAAATGGTTAAAATAGTGTTATATATACATATGTATTTATTTACCACAAAAAATTAAACAGTAATCAAAATTACTGAAATACCTGTCACATACTTGAAGGAAGAGTGGATATCGTTAATTAAACCCTCATGTTTTATACAGCGAAGTCAATAGTGTCTAAAACTTTACAAAAACCCAGATATGAGTTGACTGCCTAAAGTTAGGGAAGTGACCTCAAGAAGAACTAAACACAAATCATTAAAAGACTTAGGGCAACTGGGAATGGAGGATAAACTAATTTAAGATTATCAAGTAAGATGACATTTAAATCTGAGAAACAGCTAGTATTTAAAGGAGGGAGAACATTCCCAGCAAAAAAAGCATCATGTACAAAGACTTGGAGAAAGTACGACCACCTACACTGACCCAATAATGCACACACACTTGGTTTCCAACCCCCACCACATGCACCTGAGCACCGCCGAGAAATGCCAGCCCAGGGACCCACCAGGAGCACGTGGACACTTAGGAGATAGAAAGGTATGGTCATGAATAGAAGGGCAGGATGGGTGAGAATGCAGGAAGACAGGAAGGGCTCATGGTCCCAGGAAGCAAGCTGCTCTTATCAAGGGCTATGACTAGACTTTGCAGCAATCAGCATCATCCTGTCTCTGTCACCACCACTTCTTCCTTGGCCTACCTTCTGCTACAAGGTTTCAGTCCCTCTCTAAAGGGATTGACTATAAAGTGACCAGGCAGCTTCCTCATTCTGCTTAAAAACGCCCTGGGTTAGAAAAATGATTTTATATACTCTAGCTCTTCTCTCTTTTAATCTCAGCAGCTTTTCAATATCCTCCTCAAAGTAATCACCATTAATTCTTTTCTGTCATAATCCCACATTGCCTGTGGTGAGAATGACTGATACGTAACGATCTCAGCATCCAAATTAGCTTGGTGCTAGGAATGCCAAATAAAAGGAAACCCAGAGGCCAGTCGACACTTCAGGTACTATCTTTTTCTACCTTACAAACTGGTATTACAAACACTGACCTTGGTTTTAAGAACAGAAACCATACACTGTGTCTCATGCTATCACTTGTGCCTATTTTTCTCCCAGTTCATGGAGTATTCTTTTGTATTTCAAATAACTTTTTACAAGAATCCATTTTACATGACTTAATTGACTTCTTAGCATATCTCAACATTTGGATCCACATACTAGTCTTAGCTCATACTTTAACAAGCTTTTCTTATACTGACAACCTTTCTTTCCTGTGTGGATTACCTAATGTTAAAGAGACAAACTTTCAGTTTAAAGTACCAGCCCCCTCACTATAAAACAAAGATTCTGCAAGGCCAAAACAAAAAACAATTAAGCAAAAAAATCTGGGTCCTCACACTTGAAAATGCAAGGATCAAAGTTAATTTTCTTGATGCTGACATAGATTATAAAGAGGGAAGAAAAGACAAGTGGTCAAATGAAATACCTAATGGTACCTTAAGTCAGGTGTTATAAAAACATGATCTAAATAGTTATAAATGGTATTTGTTTACTAAAGGAGAGGGCCAGCCTCTGAATCTGAGGGAATTTGGATACTTTGGAATTTTTGTCACCTAATTCAGCAGCCTGCCTTTAGTTTGCAGTTCACTGGAAGATGGCTAGATCCTTTAAGAGCTGGATCTCCCCAATGAAAGCCATAAAGTGACTGCTTTGCTTCTTTCCAGCATGACTCTGATAATGCACAACAGTGAAGAATTTATCAAATAAGGCAGTTACTCTCCACTCTGAACTTTACATTGCTGAGTTACAGCTGACTGTGCACTAAAGGGTTCCTCGCATGTATTACATTGATAAGCTTGTTCTCTCAGATGAATTTTATGAATTTTCTCATGACTAGTAAGAGTTATTCTTTGACGGAAAGTCTTCCCACATTCATTACACGTATAAGGTCACTCTCCACTGTGAATTCTCTGATGTCGAATAAGGTGAGAGGTTTGTCGGAAAGATTTTCCACATTCAATGCTTTCATAGGGTTTCTCTCCAGTGTGAATTCTCTTGTGTTGTATAAGGGATTAGCGCACACTGAAGGATTTTTCACATTCATTGCACATGTAAGGTTTCTCTCCAGTGTGAATTCTCTGATGCTGAATAAACTGTGAATGCTGACTGAAGGCTTTACCACACTCACTACATTCGTAAGGCTTCTCGCCAGTGTGAATTCTATGATGTTGAATGAGAGAAGAGCGAACATTGAAGGCTTTCCCACAGTCACTACATTCATAGGGATTCTCTCCAGTGTGGATTCTTTGATGGCGAATAAGGTGGGCACTCTGACTGAATGCTTTCCCACAATCATTACAGTCATAGGGTTTCTCTCCATTATGTGTTCTCTCATGCTTAATTAAGGTAGATATTTGTCCAAACGTTTTCCCACACTCATTACACTCATAGGGCTTCTCTCCAGTGTGACTCCTTTGATCTTGAATAAGATGGGAGCCCTGGCTAAAAGCCTTCCCACATTTGTGGCACTCATAGGGTTTCTCTCCATTATGTACTCTCTGATGTTGAATGAGGGAAGAAAGTACACTGAAGGCTTTATGACATTGATTACATTCATAGGGCTTCTCACCATTGTGTGTTCTTTGATGGTGAATAAGATTAAAACTCTGACTAAAAGCTTTTCCACACTCATTACACTCATACGGTTTCTCTCCAGTGTGAATTCGTTGATGCTGAATAAGATGTCCCTTTTGACTGAAGGTTTTCCCACACTCATTACACCCATAAGGTTTCTCTCCAGTATGAATCCTCTGATGTTGGGTAAGAGATAGACGAGCACTGAATGATTTTCCACACTCATTGCAGATATAGGGCTTCTCTCCAGTGTGAATTCTCTTGTGCTGAGTAACTTGTGAGCACTGATTGAAGGATTTTCCACAGTCATTACACCTGTAGAGTTTCTCTCCAGTGTGAATTCTCTGATGGACAATAAGTGTTCGGTTCAGGCTAAAGGATTTTCCACATTCCTTACATTCATAGGGTTTTTCTCCTGTGTGAATTCTCTGATGCTGAATGAGAGATAACTGTGCACTAAAGGCTTTGCCACAGTCATTACAGTCATAGGGTCTCTCTCCAGAATGACTCCTCTGATGCTGAATAAGGTGTGCCTGTCTAGTGAAGGCTTTCCCACATTCTTTACACTTGTAAGTTTTCTCTCCAGTATGAATTCTCTGGTGATGAATCAGATTAGAGCTATGACTAAAAGCTTTCCCACACTGATCACACTCATGGGGCTTCTCTCCAGTATGAACTTTAAGGTGGTGAATATAAGATGAGCATGTACTACAAACTTTCCCACATTCATTACACTGATAGGGTTTTTCTCTAGTATGAATTTTATAATGCTGAATAAAGTATGAATGAGCACTGAAAGTTTTGCCACATTCACCACATTTGTAGCGTTTATCACCAATGTGAATTCTCCAATATTTACTAAGGACAGAGTGCTGACTAAACATTTTCCTACATTCATTACACTCATGGGTTTTCTCTCCAGGATGAGTTCTATGATGCTGACTGAAAGTTTCTCCACACTCAGGACACTCAAAGGATTTCTCTGGACTAATCCTCCTCTGATTCCCATTCAGAGTTGAACTCCGTCTAGGCACTTCTGCAAACACATCTGTCTGGAAAGCTCCTTCTCCTACATGGATGCTCTGTAGGTTAATGATGTCTTTATTTTCTTGAAAGTTTTCTGTACATGATACATTCTGATGGAGATTCTCCACTTTAGACACTCTAAGATATTTGACAGGGGTGGAGTCTATGCAATAGACTGTGCAATAGCCCCTACCTACACTGACTTTCTGGGTTTTCTTTCCTGTGAGGGTTTTCACATGTGTCACTGTCATTGATCTGAAATTTTTCTTCTGGCAGAAGGGTTTCTTAAGTCTCTCCAGTGCAGATATTTTCCAGTAATTCTTTAACTTCTCTTCAACTTTATTCATCTCTTCAAAATCAGGTTCCTTAGAAATATTCTTTATATGTTCTGGTATTTTTCTCTGTGACTCCATTTCTCCAGAAATTTCCTGCTTTTGAGAAAATTCCTTTATTTCAATTCTGGTGTCATAACCTGAAAGAATGAAGATAAAATGAGTTACTTGTGCTTTACTATGGAAGAAAGAATTAGAACAGAAACAGGAAAATTTATCTGAAACAATTATTTCCTAGGAAGATAACAGATTCTCAGAATGTAGAAACTGACTTCACTGGAAAGACAGGAGGAGGAAAAAGAAGTGGAGAAAGAAGCAGCCATCGAAGCAGTGAAATCTGGTGTAGGGAGGAAGGAGAGAGGAAGGGAAGGAATCTTCCCTATCTAGTCAATTATAAATTGAATTGCTTCTCCAAAAAATATGTATTAAAATCCGGGCCATCTGATACTATGATTTAATTATATGATTAAGTCAGTTGGCCTTGGACAAAGCAGATTACCTTCCATGATGAAATTTAATGTAAAATAATCATCTTCTATAATGCAATCTAATGTAATGTTTTCAATCAATTGTGGTCATACCACTATAAAATGGATCCTAAACCTAATCACTTTTGAGTAATATAAAGGGCAGATTAGATACAGAGAAAAGCACACATGGAGGAAGAAGATGCCACGTGAGATGACTGAAAATCACCCAGGGCTAACAATAAGGAAGAAATTGACGTAACCAAGATAAAGATTTGTACTTTTAGGCTCCAGAACTGTGAGAAAAGAAATATCTATTCTTTAAAGCCACTTACTTGTGGTACTTTTTTTCAAACAGCACTAGGTAACTAAGAGCCCAACGCTAATGACTTATATCTGAAATAGGCTAACCAGGCACACACGAAGCAGGAATAGTAGGACATAATCTGAGGGAGAATAATTCTCAAGAAGGTGAGGAGGGTGATTAGAAAGAAGGGAATGGAAGCCTAGAAGTTCATCACCTTTGGTGGTCAAGGGATTGCGGCATATTTTGTAAACAAAGTATTTCTGTGTGTCTTACACATAATATGTATTCAAATATTTGTTGAAAAATAAATGATAAATGACCCATAATGTATGAAGTCTATAAAAGTAATGGACAACAGGAAAAATGAGTTGATCCGGACAACATGGTTTCACAGGAGCAAATTACAAAAGGTAAAATAGAAACAAAGAAGCAACCCACTCATTCAAATTATCAGGTACAGCAGAAGACAGAAAACCCCAATGTATGCAACATTCCTACACACAGATTCCCAATAGACAAAGATGCCTGAAAATCTGTGAAAACTGTAATACAACTGGATTCCAAGAGATCCAATGAAAGAAAGTTAAAAACGACGACGACAACAACAACAACAAAATACACCACAAGGAGCAGGCATACAAAGATTGTGGGAAAGACAAGCCAGGTCAGAACAGTGAGAGGGTAGCCCTGTTTTGACATACTAGGCAAACACAATGGAATCTCCTTTTGGAAAACAGTGGTTACTGTTAGATTTTTAACGAGGTGCTACTTTCAGACTGTCTAGCAAGATTAGGGAGAGTGAGCTGAAAATGTTAACTGGATGTGGTCTCTAATTGAGGTAAGTTGTCTTAATAGAGTGAACTACTCACAGTACTTTAAAGATTTAATTTACTATCCAAAACATAAAAGGGAAAAAGCAAATTTAATATTTTACTTTAGAAACCTACGATTAGCCTGAAGAAGCTGGTTCTGGATGGTTAAAAATCCTTAATTTCTATTAGGGCATCTGCAGAGTTAGAGTGCTCAGGTCTCACAACTAGAGAGTGAAAAGGTTATTCTAATCAAGAAGCATTATTTCACCAAGTAAGAAACAGAACAAAGAATGTGAACAAAATGAGAAACCACAGAAGAGAGTAACCTGTGAGTCAGGAAGGTCACATTAGAGTACAAAGGCCAAGGTTGTTAGAAATGACTCACATTGCACCCAAAGGCAACCCAGGACCCAGGAGGATGAGAGGGAGTAGATCTCTCTCCTAGCTTGTCCTGGCAACCCCATTTCCCTCCTACTTCTACAACTCCTGCTTTTATATACTTCTCAGACTCCTCCTGCCAAGCATGAAGCCAAAGACTAATACCTGCTCCATCGCAGGTCTTCCCCTCAGGCGATGGAGGCAAAATCCCAAGACACCATCAAGGCCATCAAGGGGAGAAGCAGCATGTAAAATTCTTAGATGCAGGGATGTGATGATTCCTGCAACCGGATGGAAGGGCAAAGTCGACACAAATCTCAAGTGGTGCAAATGAAAGAATGCAGACTCTGAAGCCAAATGACCCTGGTACAAAGCTGAACTGCTCCCGAGCTATGGGTAACCAATGCCATCTCCCTGATCCTCAGTTTCCTCACCTATGAACTTCTGTGAAGTTTCCATCCTTGCAAATTATCTAAGAATTTTAAATAACTTATACATACCACTGTAGCACAGACCTTGAACTCTCAATAAATGATAATGCAAGGTTGCATCATAGGCCATGAGAAATCGTCTGGAAAAGAAACAATTTCTTAGACCAAGTGACAAAGAATGAAAGGATAGGAAAGAAAGAGACAATGTGTAGTAGACTGTGTAATGCACAGAGGATGATATATTGCATGCAGAGAATGTACAAGAGCCCATCTAAGTAATTTTAGGTGCTTCAGATGCATCAGGGAAAACCCAGCTGACAGAGACAGAGACCATGCTATCAGCTATTTCATTTACAGCATTTTTGCTGTCCCTATTCATTGCTGAAACATAGACCCACTCCTAAATACTCCCACTGTTTCCACGGTGTGCATCCATCATGGCATACAACAGACCGTATACCACAGAGGGCTCTGCAAGGCTGCAGAGTGTAAGAATACATATATAAAATTCAACCATATTTCTATATTTGTCTGTTGTTACTAGGTGTCGTCAAGTCTGCTCTGACTCATAGTAACCCTATGTACAACAGAATGAAACACTGCCCAGTACTGTGTCAGCCTCACAATTCTTGCTATACCTGAGCCCATTGCTGCAGCCACTCTGTTGATCCATCTTGTTGAGGGCCTTCACCTTTTTTGCTGACCCTCCACTTTACCAAGCATGATATCCTTCTCCAGGGACTGGACCCTTCTGACAATGTGACCAAAGTAGGTCAGACGAAGTCTGGCCATTCTCACTTCCAAGGAGCATTCCTGTTGCACTTCTTCCAGGACAGATTTGTTAGTTCCTTTAGTAGCCCTTGGTATTTTCAATATTCTTCGCCAACACCACAACTCAAAAGCATCAACTCTTCTTCGGTCTTCCTTATTCAATGTACAGCTCTCACATGCATATGAGGCAACTGAAAATACCATGCCTTTGGTTAGGCACATCTTAGTCTTCAAAAAGATATCTTCACTCTTCAGCACTTTAAAATAGGTCTTTTTTTTTTCTTCTTAATTTTATTGCGATTTGGGTGAAAGTTTACAGAGTAAATTTATCTTCCATACAGCAGTTCACATACACTTTGTCTCATGATATTGACTGTAATCTCCCACAATGCAACAGCTCTCCTCCCACTTCCTCCCCATAGCCCTGTGTCCTTCCCTCCCATGCACTCCTGCCCCCGAATGGTCTCCCTGTCCATACACAGCCCTTCTATTCTCCCATGATTGATCTCTCCAAGGAGTGTATCTAGCTGATGTAAATACTCAGTTCATATCCTTGTTTTTTGTTTGGTTGGAAGCCACAGGAGTAGGTTCAATTCCAGATCTGAAGGGCAGCTAGGGGGCATAGTCTCAGTGGTTCCATCAGGCTCTATCAGACCAGCAAATCCAGTCCCTTTTTTCCTTTTATTTTTTTTTTTTTCAAGTTTTGTTCCATGTTGTTCTCTCACTCTATCCAGGATCTCCTACATAGATCCCTCTGAGTGGTTGACACCACTAGCACCATCTAGTTCTTCTGGTCTCACAGTCATATACCCTGAGGATCACATGGTATACAAATTCCTTGGACTAATTGCTTCCATGCATCTTTGGTTTTCTTCATTCTTCTTTGCTCTGGACGAGGAAAGACCCAATGTTCAATCTAGATGGCTCCTTGACGCTTTTAAAAGTCCAGCTGTTACTTGCCAAAGTAGGATGTGGAACAATGTTTTTGTGTAGTATGTTATGCCAACTGAGCTTGATGTCCCCTGAGACTATGGTCTCATAACCACAGGTCCAACTACTCACTCTCTCTGGGCAGCTAGTTGTGGCCAAGAAGTCACCACAACCTTGTCCCTTGTGAATTCTACTATATACCCGGACATTCTTACAGAATATACAAATACACTTGTAGAAACATCATCAGCCAACCCTATACACAGTCATGGGCACACTCCCCCCTACCTAGCACACCTGATTGTTCAGCCTGTCCACCCATCTATCCACCCATAGATCAACGCTTGGCGTAACTGACAGCACAATACTGTATATGCAAAAGGATTCATCTTTGTTGTTTGTATCTCCCATGTACCTCTCTATGTCTTCC